TGCTGGGCAGGAGGGGAAGGGCTGGTCTTCCTCCTTGGAACAGACCCTGCACTGTCCTCTGCTGCCACTGTCCATGGGGTTTTTCCCTTTAAGATTTTCCACTTCTCCATGTTGTTTTTCCTCTTGAGTCCTTGAGCTACCAACTGAACCTGAACCAACAGTAATGGATGTGTGGGTAACTTCACCTCTCTTATCTCGCATGGCTCTGCAGACTTTCTCACAACTCAGCAACCTCCTCAGCTGGGACCTGCGACTGGGCCACTGCGAGTGGCCCAGGATCCTGCCAGCACGGCCAGCTGCGCCCAGTTACCCCTCAGCTCGCCTGACTTTCTAGAAAAACGTTTCAGCCATACTCTGCCGCTCTGAACTCCTAGTCCATCGTGCCGTGACCTGTTCCGACACAGTGGAAGGATCCATTTCTGGCACCTTCTATAGCAGAAATAGACATTCTCTCGCAAAACACACAGAACGCTGGTGGCCAAATGATACCCAATGTTAGAGTCTCCATACCAGGAAACTTCATCAAGATGATTTATTGTCAAGTTTGCCTTTTATATTTGGCTATTTATTTAAATGTGGTGAGGGCTTCATCCTACTATGTTCAGCCAAACCAGGATCTGTTTGTTCGTGCCACCCTCTACAGCACAGAGCCAAATCGGATACTATTTACAGACACGTGTGCGGTCTCCCCAGTTCCTCATGACTTTATAACTGTGGCATTTGATTTAGTCAGAAGAGAGTAAGGAAAAATATCTCAACCATTTCAAACTAACTCCTCACATGTGACTGACTTCATATGGACAACAAGAAACATACACCAAAGATACACAGTCCTGACAGACATTTGAGTTACCTGCTTGCAGAAGCAGCAGGATTTTGAATGAACTAGCTGTCAGGACAAAACCACTAATTGGCTAGTCGCTAATTAGTTGCCACTTGGCTTTTTAGGTTTAATTCACCATAATATTCTGCTAGGGAAGAAGAATTCCTATACATTCTCAGAGGTATTTCATAAGTTGTATACAAAATTTTGAGAAGGATGAAGCATCTGATTAAAAGAGTATTGGTTGATTCGGGGTATGGAATTATTTCTTCACAGCTCTCAAGAAATTCTAAGGTTGAAATATGAAACCACCCCAGAAAGATAACAGGCCTACAAAATAATGTTTTCTCACATATTTAAAAACTCCACCAGGTGCTTTACATTTATACATTCACATATGTGTGTGACATATCTGTTGTGTTGCATATTACACCAACACACATGTTTGAATTCTATATAGTTGCATCTGCGCTCAGGAGTTCTGTGCTGTGAATTGTGATTAACATCACAGTCACAAATTTCTGAAGGAAACTTTTTTGTAACCAATGAAACAAGGGGGTTAGTGCCCATGTCACAATTTTGTATTACAAACATGTGGGTTTTTTTCCTTTTTTCTCAGGTGTGTAAGGGACCCAACCTGTAGGAACTACTATTCACTGGGCGAGAGGATTGACCAGCTCAAGTTCAGAGGTCACATATACCCAAGAGTTTGCCTACAGTGCAAAACATTAACATGCAATTATTCTTCCCAGCGCTACCAGGACTATACAATGGCAAAAGGAGCACAAGTAACACTGTCATTATTCTTGTCCCCAAATAATAACAGCCCTAATAATGCTTCTTCTAACCATAACCTTATGTCGATCACTTATACATGTGATGAGTGTTGCACATCTGTTACTTATTTCTAAAAATACATTATACTAGGGGGTGTACATCTAAAGGTATTTTAATCTTAACTGTACTCGTGTTCCTTAATTTCAGATATCTATATTCCAGATTTGTAAAACTCCAAATTTCCGTAAATTCTCTCACTGACAAAGTGTAATTGGATCAGCAGGCTGGTTTCCCTCTCACAGTTCTTCCAGCTCTCCCCATTGTACCAAACAGCTCAAATACTGAGCATTTAAGGAAGATGAACCCGCCTTACAGACACACACATCACAGTGCTGCTTTCTGAGCTCACGAAGAGACATAAACCAAAGGATAAGCACCCCTCGTACGCAGCAATGTCTGAGCAATTACCCTAAATAGGAACACAAAAATATTTGGAAAAAACATTGGTCATGTACCGAGATACAATCTCTGCAACACCTATAAACTATTACCAACTTTCCATAGGCCAGGTTTTATTACTGGAGATTAAACTATGAAAAGGTGTACATCGAAATTTACTTCATTATAAGCATTTGCTTCATCCTTTTTCTTTCAATATTGGAACCAAGAAAGTGTTTCTCCACTTCAGTGTTGAACTGTCTTACTTGGAATGACTTAGTGAAGAAAAAAGAAAAGGAAACTAATAATTTTCAGTTCATAATAGAGAAACCTAACTTGTGGATTGCAGAACTGCACAGCAGTCACCTCAGCGAAAGAGCTGGATTATATTTTGATAAACTGGTGATCTTGGCCTGGCTGTGAAAAGTACCTTTAAGGCCAATACTCGGTTTCCATATACGTGCAGACTGCTCACGCTCACGATGAGATGCTCTGAATAAGGATGCCCAGCGTCTAGAGGTTCTGCCACACAAAACAAAAAATCCACTTTTTTCAGCGACTTTTCCTTTTACGCATCAATCCCCCCAGAATGACTAGAGTCATCCTGAAACTCAGCTCCCCCGTGAATAACTTAGCCAGCTCTCGAATGCCCAAATCACACACCTCCCAGGAAGGCTCCAGGTCTCATCTCTTACCCAGTGGTTATGCCTCGGCATCGGCTGAGCAGGCTCACCGCTAAAACTCCTCATCCTCCAGGACCGTAATGCCCATCCTGAGCCAGCGTATTTCCTAATTGTACTTCGTCCATACAAAACTCCATCACACTGGTAACCCTGCTGCTCTGCTTCTCACGGTAATGACTTAAAAGTGTTTGAAATCACACTTCCCTGCTGTTGCACTCCCAGCTGCAGGCAGCGAGAGAAAGTGCCGGTAAATAACAGGGTCACAGCAGCTGTCTCCTTGTTCCCTCGAACTGAAATGCACGCTAATTTGTCCTGAGGATCTGCTATTTAAACTTCCCTACAGTCATTCTCATCTTAAAGGATTTGCATGAAGACTTGCTGGCCATTTTCTTTTGAGGTAGGAGAGGAAATTCAAAGCAGGCCATCAATATTGCAGCACCACCTGATACCCGAACACATCACACTATCTGAACACACAAAGAGCTTAACACGCAAGATTTGGAAACAGTCTGAACGCCCAGATTTGTGGCTCGGGTCCGCGGAGCAGCACAGTCACAGACGGAGCTGCCCACCAGCCTCAAGTGTGAGCACAGGCTCAGCCCTTCAAAAACACTGGGCTACCAATTAGGGGCCCAGACCCTTAGTATCAACTCCAGCACAAGGAAATTTCCTAATCCTTCACGTACCAGTAATTCCAACTATTTGGAATTACTACCAGAGTAAATTCCCAGGGTAACACAGCCTTAGGCATTTTTTTTCTTGGATGTCTGATAGACACGGCATTGATCGGCAGGGCTCCACCCCCCAGTTCACACATTAAATATACACAAACCAGACATTAGCCTTTGAAAATGCCTTGCAAGTACAGGGGTGGGCTTCAGAAACGAAAGGCTATACAAAGTAAATGCAAATTTAGCATTTCCAGAAGCTGAAGGGGATTCAAATGCTGCACAACATCTTTATACCTGTATTCGATGCCTCCATGTCTAAAGGCAGTGTAAGTACGTTGGATGATGAAGAGAAAGTGGCATTCAAAACCGATGAAGTGAGTTAAACGTCAGAGAGAATTGTTTTAAAGAAGGCACAGGTCTGAAATTAGACATACGGGATCATTACAGATGCATCATATTTGAGTTTGCTCATAGAAAAAAAAAAAAAACAGTTTTGTACCAAAACAAAACATTTTTATGAAAGTACCTGGACACGTTTCAAGAAGGTCTGCATTTTGACTTTTCCAGTAAACGTGAAAAAACGCCTGTTTGCACAGCTGCAGGATACCTGCTCTCTCCTGGAAAGGATCAGAGAGGCAGGCTCCCGGCTGTTCACACCCTGCGCAGGGACCGCACCGAGGTCAGGGTAACGGCCCATCTGTGGCGCCGGCACCATCGCAGCCTCCAGAGGCTTTAAAGATCGGGATGCACTGCTGCACTAGGAAATAGTGTGGGTTGCAAGAGCTTTGCTCCTTATGCAAAGAGAAGAGCGTGAAAATACTGGAACAAGACCGGTGCTAGAAGGAATCGAGGTTCTTGGGACTGTGCTTGTCTCCTTACCTCGGGAAGGAAAGGCTGATTCCCTTCTTCTTGTAGCTGCTATTGTGGGACTAAGAAAGTTTTACCTGCAAAGTGGTCACAGCACAGTTTTTTTCCTTTAAATGTATAACTGACATGATTCTGGACTTGTTCATCCATGAATGCTTCTGCAGTAGGAAATTATTACTCCCGACAGCCCTACTGCAGGGGTAATGAAGATTATAGCCCCACTTCACAACCAGAGGAATCCTCAAGCAAGGACAAGGGAATTATTTGCCCGGCGCAACCTAAAGGCACAGGTGTAAAAATGAAGGTTGAAAAAACAGAGCTCCTGCTGACCAGGGCTGAGAGCAAACTGCTGAATGGCAGGGGGGTTGGAACTGGATGAACTTTAAGGTCCCTTCCAACCCAAACTGTACTGTGATTCTACAGATATGTCTCCCAAGGGAGTTTGGCCATCCCATCCAGAACACTGCTGCTTGTATCAATGCACCCGACCAGACGCTCGGTGAAATCAGCTGCAAAAAACGTGCCTTGAACCCACGAGAGCTGACAAGAACCACCTACTCCACGCAGCACGTATTAAAACAAATGGGCACACTTGTTACTTTCTCATTTATATCTGTTCAAAAGAAACCGTAGCTCCAGAGGTTAAGCCCTCCCTCTGAAATACCACGTAACGCAAGAGGATTATGAAATAGCAGAGGGTATAAAAGTCGCAAAAGCCTCACGGCCCCAGCTGCCACCAGAATGCCGGCGCTCAGGCGCTCCCTCCTCCTGCCTCTCCTTGCGGCGCTAGCTCTCGCTGAAGACAATTCAATAGAACCCAGGGGTATGGAATTCTAATCTTTTTGTTGGGTTTGGGTTTTTTTCACCGGTGAAATATTACTGGGTTTTGCACAATGGGTGCTTTGTAGGCAAGCGAACGGAAAAAAAATGTTAGACGTATCTCTGGAAGGGCATCTCGCTGTACGCGCTGCTGCAAGACAGCGACAGCCCAGTGTGCCAGCAAGCGTTAAAAATGTTGAATAACAACAAAAGAATTGCAATGTAGGACTGACTATGGCACATGTTTAACTTAAGAACTTTATTTTGAAGAGATTTTACTCTGGAATTGAAATTTGCCTTTATAAATAAATACCATATTGGAGTAACAGGAATAAAGCAATTTAATTGGGAAATGGTTCCTGTTATCTGCTCATTTTTCCCTTGTTCAATCCAAAGCAATAAATAGTTATTTGTTGCTCGATTTGCAGTCATCATTCTGGGCTCAAATCAGCAATTTACCTGATTAATGGTGGAACGATACTGTAGGATGATGAACTATGGCTGCAGGGCTGCTCTGGTGGTGCCTGGCTACAGAGCAGAGGGATGCAGACAGTAAGGCAAAGCCAACCTCGTAACGCTCTTAAAACCGTGGTGTTTTATATGTGACAAGACAGGTCTCTCCTAAACCTTCCTCCTCCCTCTGGAGCTCATCAGAAAGCCTGATCTTTTTATCTAGGAGTGCACACACCGTATAGGAAATTCTTCCTGCTGTTTCAAACCATTAGTTTTAGATTTAATATTAGCAGAAAGGAGACCTTAGGCTCAAACTGGATTATAAACTTTTTCTAGTTTTTTTTACAAACTGGCCAGTTCTGCAACTACTTCATAGCTTACTAAGACTCATTAAGTGCTGTTAGCGATGTCAACCTTGGCTGGTTTGGGGTTTTTTTCCATAAAAGAACTGGGTCGAAGCCCAGCTAGCCCTGCATCCCGACCCCAGTAACAGTAAAAAGAGGACGCTCAGGCAAGATTCAAATGCAAGTCTGCACAATACTCTCCAACAAACGTGGTTCAGGACTGCTGAAAGAGAGGAAGTGCTACCTTTGTGTTCAGTAGTTGCCAAAGGCTTTTTCTTTCGTGGCTTGACCTGTTTTATGTTTTACTTTCACCATCCACTGCCCTGCAGCAAAGATCCACGTGCAAAACGTCACTTCTTTTTGTCTGTTTCAAGACCACAACTTATTGGTTTCATTCCAGGCCACTGAGTTAGGGTACTGGATGCCAGTATCCCATCTTAACCCTCTTCATGAATTTACAGACCTCTACCATCTCCTTTCTCCCCTAGTTTTGTGGGGTTTTTTTTTTTCCTGACCTGAAACGCTTCAGTCTACTGCAGAGGTTTCCTTATTCCTGGTCTGGAAGCTAGTCTGAGCTTTTGCTCCTCCTCATCGCTGTTCTCTGAAGCTTTTCCCGTTGAGCAGCACCCTTTTAGAGATGGAGGATCAGAATCGTATGCAGCAGTAAATACACAGTAAATGCCATAGACAGTCCTTCAGAAGCTCAGCCTTTTTGATTCCCTGAGCGTAGGCTCCCAAGCGACTTAAGTCAAGGGCTGAACCTCCCTGGATTCGATGGTCTTTAGGAACTCGGCGTAGAGGGAAGACAGGAGGCTTGAGGTGCTTGTGGTGACCAACCTTGCGGACAAGAGTTGCTGAGGTGTCCTACGGCACTTGGCATTTCCAGTTTTGCCAGTGGCTTCATCTGTGATACGTGTGGCACTAACTTCCCTCTTTTCTGCTAGTAGGACAATCAGGATAAAAAGTCATTTCTAACATCCTTTTAATATTTGATTCTTTCATAAGCTGCAGTAATATAAATTCTTTTAAAAAAACCCCACAGAACAGCATTTTGCAGTCTGTTCCAAGAGGGACTGCTCCAAAGTTTTCACAAGTGGAGGATGAAACGTTCCTGCACAACTGGAGCGAGCGCCTTGCAAGCCACTTTCCGTTGCTGTTCTCCACAGGTGCACCCCGCTGCGGGGCTTCGTTTCACGAGCGCCACAAAGCATTCAGGATCGAACTACACGCAAACGCAAACTGCGCCTGGCAAATTCAGAGGAATGCAAGTCAGGCAATTAGGCTTATTTTCTCCGATTTTAAGTAAGTATTCCCTTGAGGTGCTTCTGTACGGGTTTTTTCCTTTAGAATACAGCACAGAAAAATACTGTCTGCAAATATTTCTCTGTATGTGCTTTAGTAAAATCCTTACTGAATCCATGCTGTGGACTTCAAAGAGCCTGTATATCCATCACTGAGCTTAGATCTCATTGTGGGCTGCTTGTTTTGGTTTTCCTTTTTTTAATAGATTTGCTCCTTCTTCGAGCTGTGAAACAGAAAGTATTAAAGTGTATGATGGTCCCTCAACTAATTCGCCTCTTCTTGGACAAGTATGTAAAGACACCGATGCAGTCCCAGTACTTGAATCATCTTCAGACAGTTTAACTTTTCTCATAACAACCAACTCGGTGGCTTTCACACGAAGCTTCTTTGTCTTCTATTATTTCTTTCCACCAGAAACACGTAAGTCGGAACTTAACGAAGTCACTAAATACCACTGGAATGGCACCATTAAAAGAAACTTCCCCATTAAGGGAAAGTTAAACTTCCCTAAACTTCCCATTAAGGGGAAGTTTAGGACAGCAATTAGAGATTATTAACAGAATCTTTATTAGCCTCACTGTTCTTCAGCCCTTAGGGAATGGTGGGGGGAATCAGTGAAAGGGAAGAGGCAGCAAAACAACAGCGCACTTGTAGAGAGCCTAAAAAGTTAAATTTCACTCAGAAAAATTATTGCAAAGAAGGTATTATGGGGCCCTACTTTTACTTACAGGACTCTCCTAAATTTACTCAGTTTGCAAATATGATAGATAGCGTTTACCCAGAAAGAGAATATGACCATCCAGCCAGAACTCCTGTGGAGTACAGGTTGCAGGAGTCAGTAAGGGTTTTCATCCAACAAGCTCCATTTTTTCCTTAAAAGGTAAGAGTAGCTTGGACAAAAATCAGACTTAGCTTGCAACCAGTTCCTTTGCTCCTGCTGACCTGAGTGGCATGGTATTAAGCCCTTAAAAGTGTCAACTTTGCAGAGTAGTTACCACATCCTAGTTTATGTTGCTCCAGTGTTTAACCCCGCTGCTCAAAAATGTCCGATTTCTAGTCTACATTTGTCTTCACCTGAAGTTTCCACTGACTTGATTTTATTTTTCCTTTGTCTTATCAAGTAAAATCTCTCTCAAATTTAAATTTTTTTGCACTTCCATCTAGATCATGACGAAGGCCTCACAGATTTCTCTAATATGAAGTCTCTCAGGGTTAATTTTGGCTGGTATAGCATCTTCATTACCAGTTTTTCAAGATGACACCTTATTCACCCAAAATGTAAACTGCGTACAGCATCAAAGCTAACTCAGCTAACTCCACAGCCATCTCGATGCCATCACACTGCGACTCACAGATACACCACAGCGACAAGCTGTGTTTTGTAACATCCACCTGACCTGAAACTCTCTACAGAAGTTCTATCTTAGAACCTTTAATAATTTCCAAAAGAATGGAATTCCAAAGAAACAATCCTGCTAGTTACATAGCTTCAGATCATTCATTTACTTCTTTTATGCTTCATTATATATACACCATTTTGTTAACGATGAACCTACTCTTCTTTTCAGAAACTGAAAATTGTGGGGGACAATTAACTGGTCCCAATGGGACACTGACCAGCCCCAACTACCCAGCATCTTACCCAGCACTGAAATACTGCATCTGGCACATAGAAACAGAAAAAAACTCGAAGATAAACTTACAGTTTCAGGATTTTTTGTGAGTAAATGTCCCTATGTTCCATCACTCTTCTTTCATTCTGTTTAATGGCATTACTTGAAACACAAAAGCAGCAGAAGTACTGCTTTTAGAACATCTATACATTTCTGAAAGACGTGCTTAGCTGACTCTTAGAAAGTAATTGCAACATGTTCCACATGGCTATGCAGCCAGTCCCTTCAGCTACTGCAGTACCAACCAGTGAAACACAAAAAGCATGTCGGGTGACTAGCCATGCGGTGTAGGTCCATTTCAAGCTAGTCTGGATGATGCGAATTTAAATCCATCAGTATAAAAGTTTGTGTTACCTAAGGAACAAGTTTGAAGCCATCGATGACATTAACTGTAACTGCAACTTGGAACTGAGGTTCTAAAGAAGAACAGAGCAAGTATCACCCAAAGTCAGTCTCCCCCAGTACTGCTGGCTACTGAGCAAAGGCAGTGTAGCACTGGCGTAGCACTTCCAAGCGTAGATGCCAACGGATGCAGAATGCTGTTTAAGAATTCAACCTGGAACATACAGGATTCGATAGGAAATTGTTACCTTGGCCACTGCCCTCCAAGATGATGAACTCTGCCAAGTGTGGTGTGTGTTCTCACCAGTCCTGGCCAGAGTCCAGCTGCTGAGGTATCCACCCACCACGGTGCAGCTGGTGCTTCTGGCCAAGGGTGGCAAGCACAGCGATAAGCTCTCGCGTGGTTTGACGAGAAGGGCAAGTGCCTTCCTCTGGTGACACACACAGGAGGTTTCAGAGACCCTATAATTATTATTTTTCTCTTTACAGCCTGGAACTAGACAAAAACTGCCAATTTGACTTCACAGCAGTCTATGATGGCCTCACCACCAGCACCGGCTTAATAGGAAAAGTATGTGGTCGTGCTCAGCCCACGTTCCAATCTTCTTCAAACGCTATGACGGTCGTGCTGTCTACAGACTACGCCAACTCCTACCGCGGGTTTTCCGCTCAGTACAGCAGCGCGCCGCTGCCAAGGCCTGCGCAGCCCAACAGTACGTACCCTTGCGACGTGAACAGGATGCTGTTTCTTACTCCCACACGGTTTTTCCCTTATAAAGACCAAAAAGAACTAATGGTCGATACTGAGGATTTAAGACTTTTTACTGGTAGTCATTAAGCCTCTTTACACACAAAAATCCCACGTTAGTCTCACCCACAGTGCATAATTACCTCACCCATCTGCAGAACAAAGCCTGTTATTTCACTTTTTGGTCCTTTTTTTGGCCAGCACCACTGAAAATCTGAGTTTTTCCTTCTTTTGGATAAAGCAGGCATTGCTACCATCCAAGAGATGGGAACATAAACCTTTTTTGACTGGCTAGTTCAAACAGTTTTGTTCTCCTGAGATACTCAGGAACATGGTCCACACTGGCTAGATAGCCACGGTCTAGGTGTATTGCGATTTCCTTTCCCCTTCAAGAGATGCTCCGCTTTCCTCATTGGTTCCGTATATCCATATGCCCATCTTCCACCTGAGGTGGAAAGGGAGGCCCTAAAGCCTCGATGTCTGCCATAAATCAATTTTCTCACCCACCACTCTGCACTAGCACTTTTGATTCCTTTTCCCCTTTATAAAGGCTGCAATTCATTCTGTTACCGGGTTTAAAATTAAATTTTCAGCACCAGTTTCACATGGTTTCACCTACCTAATATTGTTGAAACTTCTGCATGACCTCAAACACGCACGAGCCATTTCAGACGACTCGGGAACCATGAAAACAGATCCAAGGATCTAGACCAACGGAGCAATGACCGCAGCTCGCTTTGTGCTAACGTTCTCTGTTCTGTGGGTTTTTAATTTCTCTCTCAATGGCAGTGCTCCTCACGTGCTCTTCAGACGGGATGAAAATTGTTCTCAGCAAGTCCTACCTCGCCTCCCTGGGTTACAACGAAACGCACCTAGAGCTGAACGATCCATCCTGCAGCCCAGTTGTAACAGACTCAGTGATCTTCTCCTTCCCATTAGCCAGCTGTGGAACAACTAAGAAGGTAAAGGGGAAAAAGAGTCATGTGAACAAGCTAACAACAGGTTGTGAAGGACAAGAGCCTGTAAAAGCAGTTTATGAGTATCATGGGAGTAAGGTAACAGCTGATTTACTTGCAGTTTGCTCATCCAATTGCACGTTACCAGTCCTGAAGTAGGAGAAGTATTTTTCTTCTTTAAGAACCCGATGTTCACTGAGCCTTTCCCAGGAAGCCCCAGCGAACACGCACACGTTAACCCCAAATGCTCCACCCCCTCTCCAAGCCAGGTATCAGAAGCAGCACAGCGTTAGGTATGTACCTTAAACGTTCTCTACCGGCACGTATCCCGAGGCACAAAGGGAAAAACCCCCAGATATGAAGATTTCCAAGAGCTAGTTCATAGCGTTGCTGCGATAAGGGCGACTGAAGTGTAGCTTCGGTACCCTCCACACGCCAGGCCGTGTTCCTTAACCCGTTTGCTGCATGGGCTGGTCCAGCGTTTTGCAAAAGCAGGAGGAGGGTTGGTTGATAAAGGCTTTTATTTTGAAAAAGCAGGAGGGTTGGTTGATAAAGGCTTTTTGGTTGCAGCCCGTTTCACATTTCAGAGGCATCCTGAGCCTCGGGTAAGCACAGCTGGGCAGCTCTGCAACTGCAGCAGAGTTGCTTTCAGTGGCACTGCTGAGGTAATCACAGCTGAGCAGTTTGTGCAATTCCTCTTACAGGAGGAAGGTCAGAGCATCACTTACACCAACACCATCTCTCTCTCTGCAACTGGCAACGTTATCACCCGTCAGAAGGACGTGCAGATCATTGCAAAATGCAAAATGAAAAACAATTCAACCTTAGAAGTCATCTACTTCACGAAAAACAGTATAATCCAAAAAATGACCACTGTGGGCAGATACAACGTTAGCATGTCGTTCTACGATTCAGACTCTTTCTCCCAGCCCGTCGTTCATTCCCCGTATTACGTAGACTTGAACCAAACTCTTTTTGCCCAAGTCAGTCTTCACTCCACTGACCCAAATCTTTTGGTGTTTGTGGATACCTGTATAGCATCTCCAGAACCGGATTTTGGATCGCCAACATACGACTTAATCAGAAGCGGGTAAGACTCTCAATTACTGTATTTCCTCATGTAGTAGGAGACACAAAATCTAAATGTCAACCATATTTATTTATCTTCCACTTGCCTTCTTTAGTAGGCTCTGGTTGGACACTATAGCTCTGTATGTAACATCTTTAAATCTCTGTGAAATAAAAAACCCAAGCACCCCATCACACCGGGGAGAGGAAAAAACTGACACCATCGTAAAAATCACGCCCCAGTTAAATGATGTGGTGACAGTTAACAGCAGTTACCACGAGCAAACACACAAGGAGTCTAACAGCTCTGTGAATTCTGTTGCAGCTGCAACAAGGATGACACTGTGGTAACCTACCCACCACGTGAGCACTATGGGAGATTCAGATTTAAGGCCTTCAGGTTCCTGCAGAGCTTCACATCCGTTTACCTCCAGTGTGACATTGTCATTTGCGACAGCACCAGCACAAACTCTCGCTGTAGCAAAGGCTGCATCTCCAGGCAAAGAAGAGCTCTTTCTCCATACGCGTGGAAAACCAATATCGTAGTAGGTCCCATCCGCCTGAAGAGAGAGCTCAGGTCTGCCCATCGCTCAGGTAAGAGGAATACATAAATCCAGAACTTCCTTGGCGTATATCCATTACCTTCGTTCCACTAGTGAATTACACTGGTTCAAACCTGACACGATGTCAGAGCAACAGGTTCAAAGCAGTTTGTGTTCTGTGAGATCACAGAGGTGCTTCTCAAACTGGGACACTGACAGCCCTCTGGATTAAGGTGTGCTCTTCGAAGCAGAAAAAGCAGCACTCACTCCTAGTTACACGAGTAGTGCGTGCAGGATCTGACTGCGTACCCAGAAAGTCATGAACGGCAAGAGAAGACTTCGGATTTTCCCATGTGACCTTTTCTGATGAAGCATACGCAGGGACTAGAGCTCATTTCCCAAGCCAGACTATTTGCAGAGCACATTCCAAGTCATAGCCAAGCTTCGCTATAACCTAAGTCCGCTCAATTTCACTCGTTTTTCCCTGTTGATGCTACAGAAAAGCCGTACCAGACAACAAGCACGGATGGCTTGCAGCACTCCAGGTTAAGTCCTCACACTGCATGTACTGCCTCTTAGAACAAAGCAGGAAGGACAGCCACTGCAGCAGCAATCAGAAGTAGCACGCTTTTAGAGCCACAAAGCTGTTCCTAAGGCAACAAAACTCTAGTGCCCCAACCTGACATACTCTAGCACAATTTGCCATCTGGACTAGAGGAGTACTGAGAGCTAACGTGAACAGCAAAGTATGGAAGAGCTATTTTCAACAGCTTGTACTGTTACTCCCTATGCTCACTGTTCTAACTCTCATTGAGCCAGAAAAACATACTGTGCCACATGCTTTCAGGGGCCAGACCTAAGAAAGGTTTAGAATTACTTGTGCTCTTAGTAGTAATAAGCATATTTTTAATAATTACCCTCTCTGAACTCTAACAGCATTTCAAACGTGTTCCCATTTACTTCAATAGTGAAAGATTTCGCATCCATGCACTAGAAACAGGACACATCCATGACGTGAAGATTCGAGCGCAAATGCATCACACCCAAAATACTTTAACACACAGATTCTCATAGTTACCTCTCACAGTTTACGGACGTTTTACCAAGAAGCAGCTGGTTAACCATTGTAAGAGATATGGTTAGAATGAGGAGTTTTGGTTTTGCCCAGCTTTGCTTCAACAGTGTCTCCCCCCTATTCCTTTCTAAAGATGACAGCATGGCTTGGCAGAAACTTGGCTGCAGTGACACCGAAGAATTTTAACATCGCCATGCTCTGCTTCACGGTTGTTTTACTACAGGTTTTCAAAACTCTTCAGAACTACAGGGTCAGAATTTGCAGACGGTGCGGGTCAACTCCTCAAAACCAAAAAGTTATCTGAAAAAATGCTTATTTAATTTCCACTGAAATAACATGGTATTCAAAACTTTAAACATACCACTTTATTTTTTTCTCTACACAGAATCCCTCACCAAAGCAGAGGCTGAAGAAACCCCAAACCTGCAACAATACAGCTTCTACAGTCTCTCAGTTGTGGTTTTAATTTCAAATGTTATCATTGTGGCAGCTGTGATACTGAAATACCACCTCAAACACCAAGCAGGATATGGCTACCAAAGAATCCAGAGCCCATACTAACTACTTCAGGATATCCTGAATGTGCCACTTTCTATTCAGATTTGTCACCTGAAGAAGGGAGAGGGAGAAAGCCCAAACCAAGCAAAACCCAATAAACTAAAAGGCTTGGAATACAACAATGCTTGGAAACATACTTCAACTCTTTTTGTAATTAAAAACAACTCTCAGCCTAACACTGGATCATAAATCACTAAGTTGAAAAAGAACGAAATTGTCCACATCTGCGTGTTTCTTAGAAAGCATCCATAATCTAACTTTACAGGGCATCCATAATCTAACTTTACAGGTGTAAAGTGATTTGCAAAGTACAAGACTTCTTTTAGTGTTTGTTTTTTTTTTTAATTGCTTTGAAACTGCATGTGGCATGAGTTACCTGAGGGACACCTGCAAGCTTATCCTCTCTTCAAAACCTTCCCTTGTGGGTTGCTACTGTGAAGATCTGAGTCTTCAAAAGACACGTTTTCCTGTAGAAGGAAACATTAGGTAGACTAGATAGAAACTGGACTGTACATGCCTACGCTGCTTGTTCAGGCAACACTTTCTTTCCCATCAACAGGTTTCACTCGATGCATTTGAAGACACCCAATACACCCAACGTCTGTGCACCCAAGTTAGGAGCTTACCATCACGTCCCCACGCAGTCCGAGTCAAATGGTGCACCCACAATGAGCAACAGGGAGAATACAGAATCATGGAATGGTTTGGGTTGGAAGGCACCTTAAAGATCATCTAGTTCCACCCCCCCTGCCATGGGCAGGGACACCTTCCACTAGACCAGGTTGCTCCAAGCCTCATCCAGCCTGGCCTTGAACACTTCCAGGGATGGGGCATCCACAACATCTCTGGCCAACCCGTTCCAGTGGCTCACTTGAAGCTTGACTTCCCACAAAACACTCCAGGTCACATTTCTACCTCCCCAGATGACAGTAGAACTGATCCCGACAGGCTGAAGCAAATATGACACAATAAGGCTACTTCTCTGGCCTGGGACTGCTGAAATGCAGCAGATGCTACGCCAGCACACTCTACCTGGCAACGAGGTCCCCAGGAGAGGAACCACAAACGAAGTACTTACATTTCTTAGGATAATGAAACATGAATAAATATGTCTGCTAAGTAGACACTCATCTCAGTTCCTGCATGGGTCAAGTAATTCAGGAGGGAAAAAGCGTAATGACAGTTTTAGCTATCACTTAAGGAGCCCAGATTCCCAATTTAGGTGCCTGTACAACCAGAAATGCTTTCAAACGAACCCAGCCTAGGGTTTTATGTTAGCCTGTCTCCCTACACCTTACAACTCAAACAGTAAGTTAAGCAGTGTCAGTACTACTCTTCCTCTTATAGATGCAGTAATAAAGATCTTCAACAGGAGTGCCATTAAAATAAACCAAAAGCATAAAGAAGGCACATTCTATTCTACTGGTAACATGTTACACATTAAAAAAAAAAAAATCAAGACAAAAAACTGATCACACATAGGTAAAAAAAGATAAGCTGTAACTCAGTTTATTTAGAGTATTTCTCCATTGTTCAAGCTGAAACTGGGAAACTGTGTTTCATATGGCTTTTAGCAACACTCCCTAAATAAATAAGCCACAAAGGGCATACAAAATTCTTGTGTTTAGGAAAAAACACACATTAAGATCTTGCATAAAACTAACAACTGTGTACAACAGTGGATTGAATTACAGTAACAAAATGCAAGTGAACAACACTGAGGTTCTTTACAGTTATAACTCCATAAATACTAAGCTTTGTAAAGTGTAATTGCCCTCAAAAGTACTTACGCTGAACTCCTACATCTATACACATCTACCTCTCCCCATTAGAGAGCCCCTCGTTAGAATCATAGTGCGCTCGTGAAATTTTGTTTGGCTTCGAGTTCTGAACCAAGTCCATTAAGAGAACCATTTTATTATCTATGTGTGTCTGAAGAGCCTGGATTTGACGATCAATATAGTCCATCAGGTTTTTTTCCATCAGATCCATATTTTTTGAGATGATCTTTTCCAAATAGGAGCAAATAGGCTGTTGTTCTACTCTGTGAAAAAGGCAAATACAAGAGTAAGTTTAACCTATTTGTTAACAACAAGGAGCATGATAGAGATCTGGGCACTTGAACTTTTTACATGTAAAATCTCATTTATCAGACAATAACCTTCGGCTGATATTAGGTTTTTAGCACAAGTGCCAACCTGCCACATTTTAAACCTCAGATATTTTTGTAAACATGCTGAGGTATACAGTCATCTTCTTCCAATCTCACTTCAGAGGCTCAGTTCTGCATTAGACAGCTGAAGTTATATGTAACAAAATCCACACAATTTAACAGTAAACCCAGAGTTCAAATTCTGTCAGTGTAGCAGGCTTCATTCTTCTCAGGTAAAGTGCTTCAAGAGTTATACAAACTATGCGATCCTTCAGAAATACTGCACTTTCCCAGGAGCTGGAGCTATTCAGGGTCTGTTAGAATCCCAACTCCAACATCTCACCATTTCCACGATCGTTCCTTAGGTACCAAACTGGATGCACTACTACTACTACAGTTTGCACTGTAAATGCCAACAAACGAAGAGGGACAGGAAAGATCAGTGGGATGAGGTACACTAAGTACAGCAGAAAGACCGTGGCACATAGTGTGAAAAATGAAGAGTTTAGGAGGTAGAAATAGTCAAAACGAAAATGTAGTACCAGATGAGTAAGACAAACTGTACGTATCTGTAGTGATAGGACAAGGGGTGATGGGTATAAATTGAAATCAGAGAGGTTTAGATTAGATATCAGGAAGAAATTCTTCACAGAGAGGGTGGTGAGGCACTGGGACAGGTTGCCCAGAGAAGCTGTGGATGCCCCATCCCTGGAAGTGTCCAAGGCCAGGCTGGATGTGGCTTTGAGCAACCTGGTCTAGAGCAAGGTGTCCCTGCCCATGGCAGCGGGGGTTGGAACTAGATGATCTTTAAGGTCCCTTCCAACCCAAACCATTCTATGATTCTATGATTCTAGTATATGAAACTGCAGAAAGACCATACTTTTTCTTCCATCTTAAAAAAGACAGTTTAGTAGCAACAAACTAGGTTATTTCTTCGGAAAAAATCCTATATTCAAGCAACTTATCTGAAAAAAGAACTGTCATCATGTTCGCCACCACGCAGCCTTCAAACCATGTATTTTAAGACTCACTGTTGCTGTTAATAAAATGCTTACATGATGTACTGGTTTTTAAACTTGTCAATAAATACAGTCAAAATACCAGTTGAATAAGCATACTGAACTTACCCATCACACTGAACGCCTTCCTCTTTAGTCACTGCATTTTTACCAAAACGCCTATCTCCATCTTTGAGTCGAAGATGATTCACCTGATGGCATAAATTCTGAAGAAAAGGAAGAAGCATCGGTGGATTAGCTGTATTCAGGGTTTTGCTCGCTTGTTCCTGCGCGTGCAAAGATCCCATGACTTTAAAATCCTTTCTGAGGTCAACTGTATTTTGCTGGGTAGCAAGTCTTTCAGAATCAGAAGTATTCCCTCGTTCAGGTATCTGCGTGCTCGGATCACAATTTATTTTTAAGTCTTCATACACTGTTTCACTTGTTAAATGATTTTTAACATGCAAAGGTTCACTGGTTGATTGATCTAGTGACGTCTGAATAGCCGCACCGCACAATCCATCTATTGCATGGTCACCTCCAAAGTCTGAATTTTTCCCAAAGATCCAATTAAGTTTGTCTCCAAGAGGTAAACTGTTCTGATGGGAAGAAAAACAATACAGTAAGTATTAAAATATAACTGTACAATGATAACAATACATACTTTATAACAGTATTAGACTAGTGTGATGTAAAGATTTTAGAAGTAATTCTGAATTATATTCTTAGATAAAAGATGGTGATAGAGCTCTTAAACAGTGATTCCCTGAGTATCCTGACTCACTGCATTCCTCATCTAAGGGTGGCAACAGCTAAACCAGGATTAAAATGGCAGAAAGTTTGGGTTAAAAAAAATAATAAAAAAAATCTTTTTCAGCAAATCAGTTTTGAACATGCTCATTACAGAAGCGATCAGTACTGTTTATGGAAAAGCACAGTGACTTACCTTCTGCTGACATCTGACCATGTCCATAAGTTGCTGAGCACCGGGAGACAACTTAGATCCCATAGATTCCATTATAGTTTGCACTCTGTCCAGATCTATGCTTGAGCCTAGTGAAGGAAAATCAGTTCCTAGTTTTGGAGACACTGTTTTCACTTGTACAATTATCTTGCTGATGAGTACTCTTTGTTTCTCACCAATGGAGAGCAGCTATTGAAAGAAGGGAAAAAAAATATTTTGGTTAGGAAAAAAATAGGTTCATGTTTGCTTTATAGGTATGGGACAATGTGTTCTTCTTTGAGTCTCAGGACAAACACTGCTCAACTCTTTTCCAGGGAAATGATGCCGATTTCTCCTTGCTACTATTCTTCAGGACGTTCTGACTGGAACAGAGGTGCCTGCATGGCCCAGAGATAAATGAGGGCTTGATCATCTAAGCACTTAAGAGCAGGGGCCATACAGATTTTCATAACGTTATTTAACCATGTCAGAGTTAACAGTTCTAATTACACAGTGACTGTTGATTATCTGCAGTTATCTGGTTGATGAAGTTTTTCTCCAGTAAGAGAGTATTATCTTTCTCACATGAATATTAAAAGTCTTCATAAAAAGGTAACTGACATAGAAATTTAAATGAGAACACTGCTATCAAGACAAAGTACCATCTAACAGATTTTTAAGTGATTATATGAAGGGACAAAGTGTATACAGTCAGTAACTTGACTAAGAGCAATGCAATTTAGTCAATTAAGCGATTAAAAACATAAAAAATAAAACAAATCTGTTCAACTCCCTACCTTAATTCTACAGGAGGCTGCAGGGTATTCGAACTTAAAGTACTTTTCATACAAAGTAACCTTTTCAGTTTCGCTAAAAAAAAAAAAAAAAGACAAAATAAACAAGCTGTGAC